GCCGTCAGTCGGCAACCAGGTGAACCGCTGGTGATAGAGGAGATTACGGTGGCTCCTCCAGGTGCCTATGAAGTCAGGATTCGGATTATCTGCACTTCTCTCTGTCACAGTGATATCATCGTTTGGAAATTGAAGGTGCCTCCTGCTTGTTTTCCTAGAATTCTCGGCCACGAAGCTATAGGGTAAGTTTCCATTTCCTTTGCACAACAATATTTCTCCACCTTGAAAGTCAAAGCAATTGACGTACATAGTGGAGGAAAGTGAACGGCGGATGATTATGACATTTATCTGTTTTTTTATTTATTTCTATCTTTTGTCTTAACATGCAACTTTCATATTTAGAGAACCCAGGTACTAGAGTGGGACTGTGGGAGTGGGTGTGGATGAATGGTGGTCAGCGCTTCACCCACTCGACGAGGGATCAAGATTGGATTCTAGTCCCCTTGGTGTTCCCTCCCCACAAGTTCCTGATTCCCCAAGTTTAAAGAGAAAAATTTTCAGATCAGATGAATATTTGTGGATATTTTCTCTACTTGTGTTGCTAACTTTTGGGCTTTTGACTGGATATCTCAATGGGAAAGGTCTCTTTGGGGTGGTAGCGGTTCTGTGGGAGATTCTCTATAATATAACCGTTAGATCTCTTTCTAGGCATGACTGACGGACAGTAAATGTTGGCACTTAAAAAAAGTGAATCCTTTCTCTCTTACACATACCCAGGTTTTTTTTGAACGATTTGTCGAATTGTCATCCTGTTATCCCATGGTGAAAACCTTCTTGGAGTGTGGACCGTAGATGGGAAATTGTTGGTGGTTTATTTTATTGAAAACCAACAACAGTTTTGCTATTAACAAGAGATTTGACATTCTCTTCTGACCAAATACCTCTAATTCTAATCCAATTCAGCCTTTTTTTGAACCCCAATCGAAATTCTTTTCAAAATGGGATCATTATCTTTGATGTTTGAGTGGGAGAGTCCCGCAATTGAAATAACTTAAATATAGGCAACATGGAAAACTTAAATATAAACTTAGTTAATTCATTTACAATTAATTAATTTTTGATTGAATGCTCGTCATGTATTTAAGCTCACATGTTTGGAATTATGTTATTTGAGAATTCATACCTCATTTCATGAAGTTATACTTTGTATGGGAAGAACTGACATCTCTAGGATCACCGTTTCTTTTTGTATTTGAGTTCAATGCATTCATTTTATGGCATTCATGGTGTAGATTTCAAAGAAACTAATGTTTTATTTTAGGGTTGTGGAGAGTGTGGGAGAGAATGTTGAAGAGGTAAAGGAAGGAGATACTGTCATTCCGACCTTCATGGCAGATTGTGGAGACTGTGCAGATTGCAGATCAAAGAAAAGCAACCTATGTTCAAAACTTCCTTTCGGGGTGAAGCCTTGGATGCCTAGAAATGACACCACCAGATTCACAGATCTTAATGGAGAGCCTTTATACCATTTTCTGTTTGTTTCTAGCTTTAGCGAATATACAGTGGTAGATGTTGCCCATGTAGTAAAAATTGATCCTGCTATCCCTCCAAATAGGGCATGCCTCCTAAGCTGTGGAGTATCAACAGGTAATGTCTTTTATTTAGTGGATGTTGAACAGTTAACAGTCATATACACATTGCGCTATCAAAAATGTCAATCCTGGCAGTAACAAATTTACTTATTTTGAAGGTGTTGGTGCTGCATGGAGAACCGCAAATGTGGAGGCAGGATCAACTGTTGCTATATTTGGGCTGGGTTCAATAGGATTAGCAGTATGATTTTGCAGAAGACCTTTTAAGAAGTGTTCAATATGTTAAATTACCATGAAATGCTTACAGCTTCGTTGGTTTGTAGGTTGCAGAGGGAGCAAGACTCTGTGGTGCAACTAGGATTATAGGTGTGGACTTGAATCCTGAGAAATTTGAGATTGGTAAGTATATTGACCAGATGCTTGAGATTGAACTTTTGCAAAGTCCAGAACCTATCTGGAAGATACAATCAGAATATTTCAGCATTTTTTCTGTTTCTTTCTTTCAAGAGCAACAATGCTCTTATATGATTCCACAATGTCTTCAACAAGTATCACTTGATTTACTATATGTGTATGCATAGTGAGGAATGATTATAATGATTTAGTAGGTTTACTACCATTTTAGGTAGGGGGCTTTATTCTATAAATGATTTGTGTTGTTTGCATGGCTTATAAATGATCCTTTCCTTTCCTTATCCACACACAGGACAAAGATTTGGAGTCACAGAATTTGTTGATTCAAGCAGCTGTGGAGATAAATCTGTGAGCCAGGTATTTGTCTCTATTCATGATTAACTTTCCATATTGAATTAGTAAACTATATTTCAATTGAATCTTGAAACACTAATTATAGCTGTTTTTTTTTTCTCCCTGTGAACAGGTGATCAATGAGATGACTGGTGGGGGGGCAGACTACTGCTTCGAAAGTGTTGGCTTGTCATCCTTAGTGCAAGAGGCCTATGCTTCCTGCAGAAAGGTCTTTATTTCATACTTTCACATGCATAGACACATTCATTCACACCATGCTTCAAAAGCACATCCTTTGCAAATTATTGTACAAGGATACTCAGATGCTGTTGTCAACATCATGTGCATATTTTCTGTGCATTAAGTCATAGCATCACATTCTAGAGCTTTGCATCTTGAACTGGACTTTTAGAGTTGGAAAGGAAAAAGAAAGTGACTCATTGAATACGTTCAAAATTGAGTATGACAATCTGTCCTTGAGTTTAACATGACTACATGAGAATTAAGTTATGCAGGAAATATATTTATTCAAGGCTTTCAACATATCTCACTCTTTCTATGATCTTGAAACCCGTAATGTTTGCTTAGTTTGAGCACCATAAAATGTAAGGTTAATTATAATTGACTTTCCAAAATACTATCTTCCATTATGTCTTACACTTTATATTATGGTATGTACTTCATTCTTCTCCTCTGCTGATGATCTCATATACAGCCTGGCCTCTAGTGCATTCTTTTAAATATATCACATGTAATACTAGCTTTATGGTGAGTTTAGGACAAATGACATTTAAATAGAAATGGATGACTTTACATGGTGCTGCATAACTTTAACAAGTGTAATGTGCCAACCTTCAAGTGTTAAATACAGGGTTGGGGAAAGACGATTGTTTTAGGAGTGGACAGACCAGAAGCACAATTGAACTTCAATTCTTTGGAGGTACTCCACAGTGGGAAAACCATTACAGGATCCCTATTTGGAGGGCTCAAAGCTAAATCTGATATTCCAATTCTCCTGAAACGATATGTAGACAAGGTAAAATATTTATTTATTATTTACTTGTGTTTACTCTCACATTTATGAGGATCCTTCATCAAGGCTTGTTTTACGGTTTATGATGTTTCATAAGGTCCATCAATTGCATGGGACACCGTACAAGTTGCATGTCCACATCTACGAAGTTGATCTTATATCCCCTCTTCTCTTTTTCTGTTATTTTATTTTATTTTTTTTCTTCTTTGAAATAGCAGCTTAATATATTGTATTAACTTGAGTTGAGATTAAAAGGAAGTCTTTGTTCATGTCATCTTTTTAGGAACTGCACCTTGATGAATTCGTCACTCATGAAGTGAAGTTTGAAGACATCAATAAAGCCTTCAATTTACTTATTGAAGGGAAGTGTATCCGATGTGTGATCTGGATGGACAGATGAGTAAGTTCCCTCCCCTCATCCCACTGTTGTGTATTATAGATAATAGAGTTCCTTGAATAGCATACGGACCATGTTACCACCAAGAAAATGAGGAACCAAACTTCAGATTTTACTAGCTTTTTGATCCCTACGCTGTGAGCTTCGCAAAGAAGAGAAATAGAGTTGGGAAGGGGCAATGAAATCCCCCACCAATTGTAGCATCTCATCCATAGACTCTGTATCTTCGGGCATTGAACATACAAATGATTTTCGTCCTCCACGTCCCTTTTGCAAATGCAACAAATAGTTTTTGCTTCTTCTAATTTGACACCCCTTTTTAGAAGACCAGATTTTGTTGGGAGATCGTTAAGAAGAAGGCGTCAATTGAAACAACTGATTTTAGTCAGATCCAATTTATTCCAAAGCCTTTTGCATGTTCTTGGTTCCAAAATTCTATTCTGTCCAGCCATCATTGAATAAGCCTTGCCAGTTGTGTATCCATTTACAGCATCAAAACTCCAACTTCTTTGGTTTGGTTGGGTAGAGGACACAATCTCACTCATCAAGCTTTCCTTTAACATTTGTTCTTCATTTCTTCCCCTGCCAAAAGGTTCACGTCTCCAAGCAATTTCCCGCTTCCAGACACCATTAGAAATTTGGCCCACTTCCCTAATGTTAGCATTCCTATTTGATGCTAGATTAAATAATCTAGGAAAGGTGACATTCAAAGATTCTATTCCTACCCATTTATCAGACCAAAATTTAATTTTGTCACCCATCCCCAACTTCCAACAGAACCCGTCCCTAAATATCCAAGAACCTT